TTTAAATTAAATATTTAAAAAACATTTAAATTTTAAATTAAATATTTAAAAAACATTTAAATTTTAAATTAAATATTATTGCTTTATAATAAAGTTCAAATATTTTGAAATGAATTTATAATATAGAATAATTTATATTTTTATATATTATATGCAAATTTATAAATTTTATTTATTATAATTATTTGTTTTCAATACCTTGTTATAAATAGTATAAAAAATTAAATCGAAATTTACAAAATTATTATGTTCGTTAAATTGTAAAAAAAAAAAAAAAATATGAAAAAATTAAATTAATAAATAAATTTTTTCGACAACAGCAGGGTTTGAACCTGCGCTCCCATAGGGAATCAGATTTCAAGTCTGACGCCTTAACCACTCGGCCATGTTGTCTAAGGATTGCTAAATTGTTAAAAAAATTTTATAATTTGTATAGTTTTCTCTGTGTATGGCCCAGGGTCTAAAAAATTCCGTTTATGGGAGATAATTATAGCATATCCACGAAAATTTATTGTGTGGAAATCAACAATCGCTAACACCGTAGGATACAATGGATAAGAGTTACCTTACGTAGTAAACACCTTTATGTGAATACAGTACAAAAAGAAAAGATCCACAACAATGAAATATGTATATAGTGAGAATGCCCTTACGTACATAAATAAATAATTTAATCTTTCTGAAATTATTATGAACATGAAATTGCTCTTGTGTGAATCAAAAGTTACCGTTCCTCCCCCACAATGCAATCACCATATTATTATGATAATTTGAATTTCTTTATAGTCTTGTGCGTCTACTAATGATGTTGATTATTATCGTCATGGTCCGATGACATAAAATGATGTTGCTGTAATACAGGATAATGAGTCGAAGATGAAGGTGTCGTAGTACCATACATGGTTTGTGATCTAACGGGTAAAGAGCGACCGGAATGTGTAGTAGTTGCCGCCTTTCCCACAGCACCCTCAGCGTAAGACTCTTCAAATGGCTCTTCCTTCCCTTCTTCTTCCATAACAATAATATTTTGATCATATTGTGGAATTTTTACTTGAGATTTCCTCCGAGTACGCGATCCCTTATGTGAATCAGGCTCAATTCGAGGGTTAAGGTAAAACGGTTTTAACCCACGACTTTGCATATCCTTCTTTCGACGGCGGAAATAGATAATTAAAATGACAATTAAGCCAATGGCAAGAACTGCAATGGCGAAAACGATAAGAGCGACCACCACAGATGAATTTAGTTTATTGTCACTGCTAGATGTTGTGGTGTCGGTGGTGGACGAAGTAGGTTGATTTACAATGGTGGTGACATCTCGAGCGAAGATTCTTTTATCAGATGACATTGAAAGCGCAAATATTTCGAAGCAGGATACGACAAAGGATAAATGCAATGGCTGTTATATGAATTACATCTAAATATACATATATATTTATCTCTGATTAAAAAAAGAAAAACAAAAGAAATTTTATGTACGATTCTTTAAAATAAATTCCTTCTTTTTTATGCAATCTTATGAATTTTTTGAAAGGATTGTAGATTGAATTTTCGGAAGGATGTGAAATGTATACCATTTGTCTCGTCTCCCATGTGGCTGTGCCTATTCTGCAAAAAAAAAAAAAAATGTATATATACTGTGTCTATAATTCATAACCCCTTTCGAATCCCATTTCGAATAAGGATACATAGCCACGGCTTTGTCTCCTAATAGAAATACTCGATCAAAAACCCGACTTTATGAATTTGAAGTTAATTTCAATTTTCTGGCAAATGAATTTAAAAATTACCATAAATTACGTTTACGAGGTTAAGCCACAATACTTTAGCTTGTTAGAATGAAGATTTGCGGCGGCTAGACATTTGTACATAAATGTAAAAAAGGATACATAGTAGAAAATCTATTTTAGACTACTTTCTTTATGAATTTATTTAACTTCTCGACATTGACTTGTGTTGTAACTTGTTTTTACAAAGAGGCGATAAGCACTGTGGCTTGTTGTTCATGTGGGTGTGTCAAGTATCCAAATGAAAGATATAAAGACCTCGTGAGCACACGTGGTATATCAGACATCTAGCAAAATAAAGTCGGAATGTGAATCCAATTTGTGTGGAAAGAAATGATTATTTTTTCCCTTGCAATTTCACGCAAAATTTGTAAAAACTTACTAGACAAGGGATCTTATTTTAAGAAATAAACAGTGTCTATTATATAAATTTATTATCATTTTACTACATTTGTTCTGTCACAAAGAATTGTTTGGCCGCACGAACAATTTTTTGCAGAATCCTTTGGCAAATCAATAAGAACTTCAAATTCGGCCATGACTTTTTACAGTAAAAATTATTCCCCATACAACTTTCTTAACAGGAATATGCGATAAATAATGATATCTTCAATCCGATTCAAAGAATTCTAGGAAGATCCACATTAGTATTTGATGATTTGGATGTATATAATCCAAATGATGTCTTTGTTTAACCACAAGTATATCACACAAAATGCCTACTATTAGTTATACTGGATTCTATTTCACCTACGTAATTTAATGGAGCTTGAAATCATATGAAATGAATTTAGAATTTAAGAAAACTTATGTTAATCTAGTTTTATTTGAAATAAAAAAGATATTTAATATATATGGCTTATTAAAAATTTTTTTAAATTTGCATATCGATTATATGGTATAATATTAATTATATAGCTTTAATAAATAAAAAATTAAAAAATCAAAATCTTATTTAAAAATAAATTAATATAATATATATTTGTTGATTTTTTATTTTTTTATTATAAATTATAAATTATTTAAATTTCATAAAATTTTTGTTTTTTTTAAGCCAGAACAGTTATTAACTAAACTTTTATTTATAAGAAATTACTGGTTGGCAATATTATAAACGTTGTGGCTAATATATATTTCTTTTTGCTAAGAAAAGTTTAAAGCAAGACTTGAAAAAAATTGATTCACCTATTCTAGTTTTTTTATTATTAACTATTTAAGCAATATCAAAAAGAATATCAAAATCTACATTAAATTTTAAACAGTATCTAGAAAGATTTGTAATATTCAAATATATAAAGGTACTGTAACCAAGTATATAGGTTTGTTTTCAAGTCATGTTTGAGATTTAATATACTTGCTTTTTAAAGTTAACTTGATATATGGCAGATAAAGTTAATATAAAAGAAAAAAATAATAATTATATTTATATAAAAAAGTGTTGCAATTACTTTTCACAAATTGGTTTTTGAGTTATATAAAAAGTTTAACATATTTATTTTTCAAGTATAGTAGAAATATCTAATAAATAAAATTGTGTTGAAGTTTCTTAAAAACATTATTATCTAATAATATATATAAACATACAGTATTAAAAAATAAATAAATAATTATTGTTATTATTATTAGTTTTATTTATAAGAATAATCAGAATTTCTGATTATTATATACTATTCTATTGGATATTCTAATTATTAGCATAATATTTATAAAATTTTATATTGATATTAACTATTATTTAACTAAATATTATAATATACAGCTTATTGAAAGTTCAAATAACAATAGTTATATAATAATCTTTTGAATATATCTAGTTTAACTATTAGCAAAAAAACAATACTGAATTCAATAATAATAATTATGTCAGTTTTTTAAAAAGGATAAATTATTTGTTTTTTTTAAAAAAAATTTTAGAAATAAAAAATTTTAAATCTTATATTTATTAATATAATTTTTGAAAAAAAAAGTTAACTGATTAAAAAAATAAAAAAATAAAAAATAATATTTTCAATAATCCATATTAAGAAATCTAGTAACTAATAACAGTACCAAATAATAATTTGAAACAAAAAAAATAAATAATAAAAAAATTTTTTATGTAAAGACTATCTTTATACATAACCAACTAAATACATACTATTCTTTTAACAAAAATATGTTTTAAATATTTTTTTTAAAAGGCAGCATTTTATTTTTTGTATTGCAAGTAAGCTTTACTCTAATTTATTAATTGTGCTGTAAACAACATACATTATACATTTCTGTCCACACTTACAATCATTACAATTAGAATTCATCCATAGATATACCATGCGAGTGCAGTTTATCTATATGTATTGCTGTCTCAAGTTTACTGCAATATATCCTATTGATATAACTAGATATTCTATTTGACACTGTACGAAATTAAGGGGAATTTAAATTTTTGAAACACTGAAGATAGTACCTATATTTGGTGAATAGAATACTATTTAGTTGACCTTCCAGATCCGACTATCTGCAGCTGGACACATTGTTTTCTATTTAATTTCCACTTCCCTAAGGCTACTCAAAAACGTTCAAGAAACTTATGTCATCAGGCTTATTGCCCATTTAGATATCCACCAGATTACCTAACAGTCTTACTGCTAGGCTGTCTTCTTGGAATAAGTAACTGTCGGAGTGATTTATTACTGGATTGGAATAAGACCTAACTGGCTATTTTTTGTAGGAAGAGATACCAGGTACCACAGGGAAATGATCACCAAGCTATCTTTACTAAAAGTGAATATCTTATACTCCTTACAACTTCCAGCAATCATCATAGTATCAACCAGACGATTGTCACACCATAATACCTTTTCTGGAAATTACATTCTCAATGCCTACTGGATTAGCATGTGAAATGGCTTTTTTATGAGAAACAGCACTTTTATACAGGTTATGATGCCAGATATCATATTAATCCTTATTCAACCACCCTCACATGGGGTTGAACTGATATCTTGTAATTTGACCTGTAGAGTGTTAATCACTACACTATAGACCCACAGATCATAGCCAGCATTTTATTTTTTTTGAGCTTTTTTTATTTTCTAATTATAATGACTAGTATAAGATTTCTTATAATCTTCTGATTAGTTATTAGTTCTTATTTATAAATTTCATAACAAAAATCAAAATTAGCTTACCCTTGTTTAAAGATCTACAATATACAAAATATTAATTATATTTCATATTACCTAGTTACATCAAAACAATATAACAACTTATTGAATTGAGAAAGTATATAATTAATGTTCTGTATAGATTCCAGTAACTACAATATAAAATAATTTATTAAAATAACATAACAAATATTTGAAATAGGTTTCAGTTATCTTACTATTAATACTATAATACAATAATATTATATAATAGCAATACATAACTAAAATTATATAATTAAATTCAACAGGTTATATACTATATAACTTGTATGATACTGACATTTGATTGAAACAACAAACTATATTTAGAAATAATATCTAATAAAAATTATAATATTTTATTATTTTATTATTATTTTTTTTTTAATTTCTTTATAATACTAATAATTTTGTTTCAATTATATTTTATTATTTTTTATTTTTTATAACAAATAGTTTTAGATTTTTCTTATCTTAAGATTTTTCAAATAATATATTTGCTTAATAGGTAATAAGTTTATATCTATAGTAACATAAATTATATTTTACTATTAATCATATAATTAATTAAATTTTTATTTTATTAATAAAGATAATAAGCAGTATCTTACTTTAATATATAAAAAAGATTGTTATTTATAATATTATTTCAACTTAAGAAATAAAATATAGAAATATAAGTTAACATATTTAGATTATACTAGTGATACTAAATAACAATTATATTTGAATTTTATTTAAAAATAATTAAAATATATATATATATTAGAAATAGTATTTTTTTATATAAATAATACTTTTATATAAAGTTTTTATTAAATTTTTAATTATTACCTGCAGCTAAAAATATAAATATTTCACAAATGAGCAGCTCAAGTTTGATTCTAAAATGTTATTCTATCAACTTTCAGTTTCAAAATTTGAAGATTGAAACCAAACAGAATTGAAGATTCATTCAATAAAATCAAATATTATACAAATTTTATATATAATACAAATTCAACTTGATTTATGTTAAACTTGATTCTTTCTATTTTTTTTTATATAATAAAAAAATGTTTGACAAAGAAATTTTTTATGAAGATAATGACTTTTTTAATGATTTTTCTGAAAACAAAAATTTATATAATAAAAATAATCAATCTTTTTATAATATAGATTTAGAAATAATTGAGTTAGAAACTGTTATCTTTGAGAGTTCAATTGAAAGTTCAGTATAGAAATGTTTTGAAAAGAATCCATTTAATATATCAGATTACAATGTTTATAAAAAATATTTTAACAAATACAAATTAACAACAAATATCATTTCCTTAAAAAAGTATTTAACAAAATATTATTTAAAAGTATCTATAAAAAAACAAAAAACCTTATCTTTTAAAAGAATAGATTCT